CGGATTGCCACTCTCACTATGGAGATCGCGAGTAAGCCGAAGAACAAGGAGCGCGTGGTCGTGAAAGCAAAGGTTCCGAGGCTGCTCGCCCTCCGCCAGAAGCGAGTACATTTTGTGAGCCGATCGCAGCACCATTTTGAATTGCACGCGCCTGGTCTCTGGCGCTGTTCTGAATGCGGACTCCATGCCAAAGAAAAGACTCGGGGGGTTTGGGACCGTGTCCTTTCGGCCTGCGCGGCCATGGCTCCAAGGGCCCCTTTCCCGCCCCCCCGCCTGAGGTCTGCGCCTGGTCCCCTGGCCCCTATCGATGGTGGCCTTTGGATCAGGCTTGGCATGGAAGATCCGCCTGTGCTCGTAGCCCACCCTGCTTTCATTGCAGGGCAGCAACTGTCTTCTTCACATGAGCTGTGGCATAAAGGCAAATATACATTTGTGGCTTGTGTGGTGCGTGGGCCACGCAACGACCGGTCAACCTGTTAGCTGGTTGCGTTGTGGCCCTGGATGGGCCGCACCGTATCTCCCCTAAGCAGCTGCAGGCTTTGCAACGAATTCGCAAAGGATTGCCTCCGCAGCAGAGCTCTCGTGTGTGGGATTCCGGGCAGGAGCCCGTCGTTCAGCTTTAGCGCGCTGACGGCCACACCACTTGCTTCCACCCCCCTCGGGGTCTCTGGGAGCTGGCGGGGCCACCTGCCCAGAGGACTCTGCGTTGGTTCCCACCCCCAGGGTGCTCCAACCTCCTCTGGCCTTTACTTTTCTGTGCTGATGTCGTTGCTTCAGTGCACTCTTTAACTTCGGTGCTGGGCACCCTTCATCCTGCAGCCGTCCACGCATTCACCTGCAGTGCCGTCTGTAGCAGCATACAGTGAACAAAATCCTCCTCCTCCTCCTCCTCCTCCTCCTCCTCCTCCTCCTCCTCCTCCTCCTCCTCCTCCTCCTCCTCTTGCGCAGTCAGGTCGGTGGACGGAAGTGGGCTTTAGGAGGCAACTACTGGGAGGTTTTCGTCGGAAGGATTCAGGAGGATGAAGCTCCAGTGGGGGGCTGTTGCGCCAGAGTGGGCCTCGTATCAAGCGGGACTGAGCCGGATTACGCGGGATTATGCGGGATTGAGCCGGATTAAGCGGGATTAAGCGGGATTAAGCCGGGTTAAGCGGGATTTCGGACCAGGGCTAAATCAGAATTTGCCCTCCCAGGAGTTGCATCCGAATGGGCGGGAAATCTGGCACTGATAATTACCTGTGATATGCTCGCGTCGGCGATGCAAGCATCATGCGAGTTCGGCCACGACGACAAGTGTAGAATGCACTGCGGTCTGGCAGGCACAGCCAGCGAGGACGCCAGACTGGGGATAGGAAGGGATTCAACATGGCAGTTGTCCATAAGCGAGCTCTGCAAGGGTTGGATCACAGCAGGGCTGAACAGGGGATATGGGGTAGCAAAGAGGAAGCAGCAACGCAATGGCCAGTCAGGGGGTGATCATGTAAGAAAGTACAAGCATGCCGCAATTTCAATCGCTCGCCACAAGTAGTCGGCGTGCGCAAAACAGTCTCCCGTAATTCGCTGGGCAATGCGAGGCGCCCTATGCTTGGAGCAGACGAGACACCCCTTTCTACAAAAGGGGATGCCCACAAGAGGCACCAGATCAAGCTTGAAGCGCAGGACAACACACACACACAAACATGAGCATCGTCACGTTCTCGCCCTGATATGGCAAGCATGCAGAACCCTTGCTGACATGCTGCCCCGCCGTGGCACGTGCTGGACACTCGTCTCGTGGCGACTGGCTCACTGCTCAAGGGAAGAAGGCACGCGTCGCGATCCCGTGATGGGGGCCCCTGCTCACGCACGCCCGCCCGCATGATGGAGCGTGCGCGGGGGGCGGGGCACTGCATCAGGAGAAGCAAACATCTGCGTAATGCGGGATGACGATCAACAAAAAAAATGGGAGAGAACGATCAAAAAAAAAGTTGTCTGCTATTGCTGCACAGTCTTCTGACTGGAGGAGAGCGATCAAAAACATTGTTTTCCAGCCCGCGGCCGGTGTTTTCGAATCGTCATCCCGGGCGCCGCCGCGTGAACACGACCCCCGGTCATTTATTAATCGTCATCCTCCATGGCGAACTTTCCCAGTGATAATGAAGTTCGGCCTCCGCGCCCTCCGCCTATATTTGAAACCCTTCTAGGCCGACGATAAAAAAACTCTAACGACTTAAGGGGGGGGGACTGTATTATCCTCGGCATGGGGTTCAGCATGCGCAACCTCTCAGAGGTCCGCACGGACTTTTCGGATCGGCACCGGGCCCCCCCTCCCTGGCGCGCGGAGCGCGCCGGGGTCGGCGCCGGAAGCGCCGCTTGGCCCGGGAGAGCCGCACGGACCTCTGGGAGTCGACGTCCGTGCAGACCCCTCGCCTCCGACGGCGCCTCTGCTCCGCGGCGTGGGCCCCGGGAGGGGCCTCGACCTCTCCCCGGGGAGGGGGGGAGGAGGAGGCAGGAGGAAGAACGTGGAGGGAGAGGGAGGAGGAGGAGGAGGAGAGGAGTAGGAGGATAGGAGGTGGAGGAGGAGCAGGGAGGAGGAAGAGGAGGGAGGAGGAAGAGGCGGAGGAGGAGGAGGGAGGCGGAGGGAGGAGGAGAGGGAGGAGGAGGAGGAGGGGGAGGAGTCGATCTTTGCTGGTCCCGGGACCGGGAGGCGGCCTCCGGAGGCCGACGAGCAGTCCCAAAACGCCCGCCGCCGCGGTGCTGTTTGCTCCGCCTGGATCTGAAGGCGACCCTTTCCTCCGACGGCGGCTCCTCCTCCTCCTCCTCCTCCTCCTCCTCCTCCTCCTCCTCCTCCTCCTCCTCCTCCTCCTCCTCCTCCCCTCGCCCCCCGGCGGGCCCCAGGGATGGCCCTCAAATGGCCTCAAAGGCCAGCCCCCTGGCTCCCAAGACTCTCTCTGTTCATCCTGGCTGCCCGAGTTGTTTCTCTAGATGCGTCTCTTCGCCCCTTTTCCCGTCAGCTCTCACGGGCAACGTTTCTGAACGAGCTGGTCGGGATACGCGAAGCGTGAAACAGTTTCCTTTCTGAAGAGTGGCAAACGAAAAAAATACCCCTAACCCGATGGGAGGGGACCTATGTTAGGAGGGCCAAAAACATCAGGGATAGGGGGCCTTCTCTGCAGATGTATCAGACCAACCCGCCCAAACTCAGTATCCCTACTGCGACGACGGGGACCTAAGTGATGTCACGTCTTCATCGTATTGGGGTCAAGGGTTCTCTTGACCTTGATGAGCGGGAAATCGCGTCGTCCCGACCGGCTGCCGGAGACCCAGGCTATGACCCTAAGCCAGGTCGTGAAAATAGCCGGACCAAGGTAGAGGTTGGAGGCCTGAAAAGGGCACCAACACCAACACGGGAGGTTGCCTCCACAGGGGTGAGATGATCCTAGATTTTAACGACGGTGGTCATAATTCGGGCGATTCGAGAGCCCGATGAAGGCACACCGCCCGATGAAGACACACAGCCCGATGAAGGCACACCGCCGTGCTGCAAGAATCCTCCTCCTCCTCCTCCTCCTCCTCCTCCTCCTCCTCCTCCTCCTCCTCCTCCCCCTCCCCCTCCTCCTCCTCCTTCTCCTCCTCCACCTCCTCCTCCTCCTCCCCTCCTCTTTCTGCCCCTCCTCCTCCTTCTGCCCCTCGTTCTCCTCCTCCTCCTCCTCCTCCTCCTCCTCCTCCTCCTCCTCCTCCTCCTCCTCATCCCCCTCCTCCTCCTCCTCTTCCTCCTCCTCTCCTCCGGCCCAAATTGATCCTCCTCCTCCTCCTCCTTCTCCTTCTCCTCCTCCTCCTCCTCCTCCTCCTCCTCCTCCTCCTCCTCCTCCTCCTTGGTCTGCGGGCCCCTCTTGGGGTCCATCCGCGGGCGGCCACGGCGCCCGAGCGTCAGCCCGAGAAGAAGTCCATCGCGCCATGGCCGCCTGCGGCGGGGCGGCTCTGCACGGAGAGGCCTCCCAGTCCCAGACAGGGTCCGAAGGGGGGGGGGGGGGTCCGGCGGACCGCGCCGCGAGGGGACGCGGGAGGACGACGGAGGTGGCTCCCGTCCCGCGCTCTTCCTCGATCTCGGCCCCCGGGGCCCCTCATCGGGCCCAGGCGCCATCGAGCATGGATCTGGGGGCGAAGCTCGGGGGCGAGCCCCGCGGGAATGCAGAGGGGGGGGGGGGGCGTCTCTGAAGGCTCGGAAGTCCTCGGGCCTTCCGAGAAGTCTCTCGGCCTTCCCCAAAGACGCAGAACCCTTCGCGGAAGCTGCGAGGGCATCTGGGAAGTTCTGCTGCCTTCTGAGAGCCCCTGCCCCCCCTTCACACACCTTCTGGGCTCGCCGCCGAGGAGAACTGGCGCGACGTGCCTCTGCTGGAGGCGCACGCCCGTCACTGACATAATCGTAGCACAAAGCTGCGCTGGCATGCAGCATCCCTCGCGGCATGGCCAGCAAGCGCCCACCGCGTGGACGTTGTTCGTTTCGAATCGTGCTCGCGTCTAGTTGCGCTCGTTTCTAATTGTTCCTGGCCCCCTAGCGGCCAGGAAGACGCCCAGGATAAAACAATTAGAAACGACAGGATCTTGGCCCTCCAGAAAATCAAAGAACCTTCGAAGAATTGGAAATGAAGAATGTGTAGACTTGGCTATAAGTCTTCTGTTCGTTCGTGAGCGTCGCCCCCGCCGCCACACGCACACTGCACACAAGCGTGCGCGATGCCGACGCATCGGCGATGCCTCGGCGACGTCGGCGCGGAGGAGGTCGCGCTCCACGTCGACCCGCAGCGGCGGTGCGTGGGCGATGCCGACGCATCTGCGATGCATCTGGGGACGCCAAAAGGTACCGATGCCGCTACTCCCCAGACCTCTCCCGGGGTGCGTTCTGACCAAGATCTCGAGGCGAGCCCAGCGGTGGCGCCGAGGGCCTCCCAGGAGGCCCAAAAAGGGGCAAACGGGCGAGGGGGCAGAGGTATGGGCACCTTGTCGTCCTCTGAGCATCGGCGACGTCGGCGCGGAGGAAGGCGCGCTCCACATCGAGCCGCAGGCGGCGGTGCGGTGCTCTCCGCCGGCTCCCATCCGCGCAGGCTCCATCGGCGGAGCCCCCGGCGCGGTGCGCCGCCGCCCCGCTGCAGGGACGAGGAGGGCAATGATCGCGTTGGAAGGAAAGGGTTGGGACGATACAGGGAACGACTGTGCAATAAGCACCTGCAACCTCCTCCTCCTCCTTCTCCTCCTCCTCCTCCTCATCATCATTGCCTCCTCCTCCTCCTCCTCCTCCTCCTCCTCCTCCTCCTCCTCCTCCTCCTCCTCCTCCTCCTCCTCCTCCTCCTCCAAGTGGCAATCCGAGGTCTCAGAAGACTGCTGGCCACTTCAGAATTCAGGACATGTGTGCGGAACCCCCAGTCTGCTCGCCATGGCGGCGGACTCAGCGGCGCGTCTCGGGCAGGTCAGTTTCGTCGCCTACAACCCCCACAGCGCCACCCACTCCCGCACTCAGGACATCCTGGATGAACTCCACAACGTGTCCGTGGTATCGCTGATAGGAACGCAGGAGAAGCAGCAGAATTCCAAGGACCTCAGGTATTGCTCGTCGTTCTGGGGTTTCTCGGAGGGCTGGAGCTCAGGAGCTTTAACGAACAGATCTTGTGGGCTCAGTGTCTGGTTCAACAGGAAGATGTTTCGACCGAGTCACCTTCGGGGAGTGGCGCCTGTTCCGAAAGGTCTCCAAGGGCGGGTCCTGGGGTGCAAGCTTGGGAGGCAGTCGGTTCGGTTTGCTGTTTTCGCCCTTTCCTTCCCGCCGTGCACCAGGGACAAAGACCAGCTTCTCAAGTACACTAACTGTTGTGATAGAATGATTCGCTGGTTGACTCAGCAGCTGGACGCCCTGGCGGGCAGGTGGATTCCCATCCTCACCATGGATCTCAACTCCACTTTTTGCGAGGAGCTAGAAGGCGTTGTTGGTCCGTATGGCCTCGGCTCAGACGAGAAGCGAACAGCCCAGATGCTGAAGCCAGTGCTCGAGTCTTACGGGCTATGCCTTGCCAACACGATGGCCGATGCGGGCTACGCCTTCGTCGCCTCCTGCGGCACCCGCAAGACGCTCGACTACATAGCATTGCCGCAAGGACTACTTCCAGCAATGAGATGGTGCACCACTTTTCGGCGTAGCATGCGCAGGCTTCAGCCGCATCGATGGGGACGAGAATGGGATCACTTACCGCTGGGGCTGGGGCTTGAGTGGGCGACGGACATGACTCCCACAGATGTGCGCCGCTCCGAGCGCATAGAGCCTACGGCTGCCCACGCCCTTCTCCAGCGGGGATATAGACGGAGAGAGTTCATGGAATCCGTGACTGCCACGATCGAGCAGAAGGCGGCCTGGCTCAATTCCCAGACGGGATATACACTCGCGGTGGAGGCCAACGACTTACTGGTTCATGCCATCACCAACGCTGCGCTCACCACCTGCACGCAGAAGGAGGGATACACAGAGCACCACGCCGACTACGCCAGAGAGCTCAAAGCTCTACTCCACCAGAGAAGGGAAGTGCGTGATCGACTGGCATGGGCCTACCAAAAGGATGATGACGACCTTCAGCTGCAGCTCACAGTGCGCATCACGACTATCAGCAAGTGGCTCAGGCAGCACAAGAGGTGTCATTGGCAGCGGGTACAGCAAGATCGTGTAGCGGCTTTCGAGGAGGCGCGCAAGGCCAAGGACTTCCATGAGGTGCACGGGCTGGCTCGTCTCATCGCAGCACGCGGGAGAGGACCACGACGGCGTAACTACCTACAGACAGCTTAACACCAGCGGAACGACACAGGAGTGGACTACCAGGATGCAACAACCTGGGGCAGAGGGTGGGGCCGCAGCACAACTTGTCAGCTTCAATGACATGAATAACATGCTTCACGAGCTTCCAAAAGCCTACACATCGGTCACTGCAGATGAGGTCAAAGAGGACATCGACGCTTTCAAGCATGAGGTGTGGCGGCTCAGGCTTTGGCGTGTCGCACCTCAGGACAGCATCATCGCGGAGCTCCCCCGCACTGCCATGTTCCCCAACTGGGTCAACAAGCGCAGAACGACGCACCACCACGGCATCGGCTACGAGCAGCAGACGCGCATTTCGGCCAACTCTGTCTACTTCCTGCTCGCCTGCTTGTTCACAGGTATCCGCACCAGTGGCAAGCTTCCTTTGTCGTGAATCCTGTCGGACGCCTGCAAGATTGGCAAGGGCAACAACAAGGAGGGCGTGGACGGCGAACGACTTATCATGCTCGCGTGTACCATCGCCAAGACGTACTACCGCAGCCTCTTGGCCCGAGGAGCCCCACCTGCCCTTGAACCGTGGATCTACGGTTGTCTCAGAGGGCGACGTCGGGAGGCTGCAGTGGTGGTGCAGCAGGCGTACTCTTGGCGCAAGCTTCAGGCTGGGCAGTCCCACATTAAGAGGTTGCACGACGCCGCCAACGCTTTTTATAGTATCGACCATGACAGCTTATGTCACGAAGTGGAGCGAGTTTTCCGTGAGGAAGATTGGCAGATCATGAAGTTTCGAGTCACGCTTGCATGCTTTCGACTACCAGGTGCTGAGAACGACATTCTTTGGTTGCAGCAGGGATGCATGCCTGGAGATCCCGCCATGGTCCGACTTTTTGTAGGTGCTTATGCCAGACAAATGGGAATGGGTTCGATTAATATTTCTAACTACCGAGCTGCCAGTTTCAAGTGCCCATGGTCGGCTCAGTGGATTCAAGCTTCTTTCACTGTGTATGTAGACGACGTAGCCGACAATTTCGATGTCACCAACAACGCAGCTAGTATCATGGCGGAGGGAGTCACTCAGAACGAAGTCATCACTGAGAGGCTCGCCGAGATCCAGATGATTCAGGATGTGAGCAAGCAGGAGAACTTAGTTTTTTTTTCACAGGCGCCAACGCAGCCTTCATGGAAGCGAAGTTCCTGCGAGATCAGGAGCTTGCTGGGCGTACGACAGTGTGTGCACGATAGTTGGGCCCGCGCATTCATTCGAGGTTTGCATTGTGTGAGATAGAGTACAGACTACATGCTGGGCGCACTGCCTGGTATAATCTCTCTAAGTTTTGGCAGAGTGCAGTGTCTCTTGGTTGGAAGATCAACATGCTCAAAGGGGATGTGGCCAATGCGTGTTACAGTGGAGCGGAGGTCCTGCGTGCTCGAGCGGGCCCCATGCGTCCGCACGATTGGCAACCTATTCTTCGCTTTCTTGCTATGCGTGCTCGGATCCTGCTGCGAGGTACAGCACAGTGGCAGGAGGACGGCTCCGTACGCACCCTCACCAACCTACAGGCCCTTGCAAAAGTGCGCCTCGCTGCCCCACATGTGGAAATGAGAGTTCGAAGGCTCCGATGGCTCCAAGCTTGTCTACGCGAGGCCCCACGGTGTGCTCAATTTCTTGCGGTCGTTTTCGGGTGCTCTCGGGACGAGGATTTGACCGAGCTCGAAAAGTATCTGAGCAACGACGCGAAGGCGAACCCGTGGTGCGAACAGTTCTGCGACGACATACGAGCGATCGAACTCTTCGATGACGGGGCGAGGTTGATGGAGATCTATGGGTTGGAGGGGATACTATTCGAGGGGAGGGAGGAGTTCGTTCAATTGGATGTGGGAGGGATCGTGTCGCACTATTTCCTCAACATCGCACAGCACGAGAGGAGGCAGGAGGAGATCGAGAGTGGAGGACCCCACCAATGCAAGGCCCTTCGAGCCGATGGAGAGCCCAGTACTGAACGCTTCATGACAAAAAAGCAGTTGGCGGCCCACTATCTGAGAACCAAGGGAGGCACTCACGGAAAGCAACTTCTTGGGAGACTCTGCTGTGTATCCAGTCAGTGCGTGATCTGTGGCTCGAATTTCTCTTCGATTGACTATGCAAAAAGACACATGCACAAGAGCCTCAGC